TCCAAAACAGATAACTGAAAATTTTTAAAATGATCAGCTTTCCGTTTAGCATGGTCACGTTGTCGTCACATGGGTGACGCTTTCAAAACGTATTCCTAAAAATTTTTGATTATTTTAAAAGAAAAAGAAAAAGAAAAAGAAAATGAAAAGAATTCTATTATGATCTAAAATTTTTATGTGTATGCTTGTCGAGCATTAATCTCGCTAAAAAACGAAAACGTCAGACGTCGACATTTCATTCATTTTAAACAACATAATTGCATGTAAGGATTTTTGTTTGTTTTTTTCCAAATTTTTCTTCATTCTGTCGGATCTATATCCATTTACATTTGCTTATATATATATATATATATATATATATATATATATATATATATATATATATGTGTGTGTGTGTATATAAATATAAATATGAACTTTAACGTACTATAAAATTTTAATAAATAAAATACGATAACATTTCATGACCAATTAATAATAAAGATGAAAATGAAAAATAATTAAGATCTTAAAAAATATAAATTAATAATAAATAAAATACGATAACATTTCATAAATTATTGAGTTACTTCTATCCTTTATTTTAGTGGGCATTCAATCTTAAAATTAATGCGGCAAGAATTTCTGCTAGTCTGTTTTTATACAATGAGATAGTGAAATTCTTTTTAATGTATTCTACGAGAACGTCTAAGAATGGGAGTTTATTTTTTGACTTAGTTCGCAGGTAAAGCTAAGGGCAGAGTTTTTTTTGTTTTTTTTTTAGATGTGGTTGTCAGAGTATCTATGTCTTTTGTGTTTTTCGCTAAAATATCGCCTACATAACGGACATATATTTCTAGGTTTACTGACCTGATTAAATTTCATGTTTCCTGCATGTGACCTGTAGTAATTGGAGAAGCACGGTCCGACCGGATCTCCCAGAGTAACTTTTACTAATTTTAAGAGTGAATATCCACTCAAATACAAAATAGCAGTGATAAAAACTTCCTAAATATAGAACAAAAAAATTCCTATTCTCATTCCTCTTCTCTCAAAAAAATTCCTCTTCTCGTTAAAGAACCCAAGAAGGCAAAACAGACACTAGTTAACAATGGTTTTTCTTAACCACCATATTGACCAGCAGATTAGACGATTTCTTTCCAAAGTAAATAATAACTATAGAGAACACACAGACAAAAACAATAGCATAATCGTATTCTACATAAGCAGGATGCACGTCAAGTATAAACAAAATGAATTTTCACTTAGAAATATCAAAAAGAAATAGTCTACCCTACTTGATCCAAAAAAAAAAAAAATTAATTATCTGTAACATAAAATTTAAAACAGCTAACCTTATCCTCAAAATTTGAAACACACATACGAACATTATTCACGAGTTCAAATGACCCCTAAGACGCCGTGTTCCTGATCAAACTAGGTATTTATTTACTCTTTCTCTCCACTAAGACGAGTTGTGGCTCAAGGTCAGTTTTTTTTTACATCTGGCATAGGAGCAAAAATTGTCCGCACCCCCGCAACCGTCGGTTGCGCTGGTCTCCGTGCGAGCACCGATCCCTCTCTATGTTGCAAATGGAGGGCGTTGCCTCGGGCAGCCGTTTCCCAGTTGCGACGGAGCCGAACCCTGAGCGCACTGTACCCAAAGACAGAGACCCAACTGAGAGATGATAAAGAGTGTTTTGCAAACCACACGAGAGAGTAATTTACACACTGACCTGACTGATCCTGATCAAACTAAACTCATAAATAATTGGATCACTCACACTACTACACGCGTATCCCGACGATTTACGGGAAACGTACGAGTAGAAAATACCTACCTAATAACATCTTGCACATGTAAAAAAAAAACATGAAAAATAATGGAAGACTTAACGATGAAAAGAAAAAGCCAACACTTAATGATATTAACTACGAACACGGCCAAAATGTGCTGACTGTGTTCGGAAAATAAAACATCCTTGTAACTCTAGATAATATACACCACCCATACATCCAGTTACCAAAAAACAAACAAAAAGAAAACATCATCCTTGATAATGGCTAAACGTATAGCCAAAACCATTCGGAATTACAGAAAATTTGGACTGTTTCTGCACACTCTGTGTCCAGAAAAGAAAACATTTGTTCGAACACAAGAAAAATTAAATACAAAGCTTAATCGCATTACCTTGTCTGTCGTCTTTAATAAAACACTTATATATATATATATATATATATATATATATATATATATATATATATATATATATATATATATATATATATATATGTATATTATATTTTTTGTCTTTTTTATCATTAAAATATGTATTCATCGCGACACAGAATTTACGACGTTTCGAAATAAAAATTAAAAATATAAATTAAACATAGAATTAAAGTTTTTGTTCCATCCTCAAGCGATTTTGAATAACTTTCGAAAAAACTTTTTTTCGAAAGTTATTTATCTTCGCTTGAGAATGGAAAAAAAACTTTAATTTTATTTTTAATTTAAAGTTTAGTTTTTAGTTCCTAAACATGGTAATTTCGATGAATACATATTTCTAACATTATGCATCGAGCACTGGTTTAAGAATAACTGCTAAAGAACTGTGGATTATAAATCTGACTGTTCTTTCTTTATATATATATATATATATATATATATATATATATATATATATATATATGTTTTGTGTGTGTGTGTGAGTGAGTGAGTGAGTGAGAGAGAATGTAAATTTAATTAGAAAACAGAAACTTTAGGGTCCATTGATTATATTTTATTTCCCCTGGAAGATGTTTTTTACCTGGTTCCTCAGATCACATTTCAAGCATATAAAATGTCTTTAAATTCACGTATTATTTTCAAACACCTTTTAGGGTCAATTTTTTTCGAAAGTTATTTATCTTCGCTTGAGAATGGAACAAAAACTTTAATTTTATTTTTAATTTAAAGTTTAGTTTTTAGTTCCTAAACATGGTAATTTCGATGAATACATATTTCTAACATTATGCATCGAGCACTGGTTTAAGAATAACTGCTAAAGAACTGTGGATTATAAATCTGACTGTTCTTTCTTTATATATTAATTTTAAGTTGATGTAAGATGACAGAGAGATGGGGAGGAGGACGACAGATATGGTCGAAGTTAGTGAAGGAAGGGAAAGATAGAAAAAAAATTAAATTTATTTTTTATTACAACACTTAAGAGTAAGTGAGGGGTGGTGGTAAGGGTCAGGCATTGAACTATTTAATAATTCATCTCACAGAAAACGAGTCAAAGAGAAAAAAGAGAAGAAATGATATAAGGAAGAAAATGTGGAAGCAGAGGTGTGAAGAAAAAAGTGAGGAAAGTAGAAAAGAAAGAATAAATTAACATATATGGGCATATTGCGGTTAATCTCATAAAGATACAGATTGATATATTTTGCAGTTAACGTTTAATTAAAATTTAAATTTCAAATTTAAAAATTATCTACAAAGTAAAATAGGAAAAACATATAATGTGAATATAAGATAAACAAAAAATATTAATATTATTAATAATAATTAAGGAATAATAATATTTTTAATGAAAATCTAACATTTCAAATTTTAAAGCTTAGATTCATAGTTTAAAGTTAAAATATAAAATAACCTAAATTTTTTAAAATATATATATATATATTAGCTTAAAGCGGAACTTTGGTTACCTGTGTTGATTGGCTTAGTGCTATTGTTTTGAAAATACATATTTATAGTCGATATTTATCTATTTATTTTTCTTTTATTAATTTTCTTCAATGACGTTAGCATTAATATTTCTCGCCATCATTTTGTCCATTGCTGCTCTTAGCGATATTTTCTGACTCCCCACCCCTTTGTCTCCTTTCTGCCATGATTTCAAAAGCACTTATTGGGTAGGTCTTTCTCTGTTCTTGCTGCACTCCCTTCCTTCAATATGACCCGTGAGTGTTAAATTTTCCTAGTGGTCTTTCCTCATAATGAGTCGGCAGAATTTCAACCATGTCTCTCTGATTTTGAATATACACAACCTACCTAGCCAAGGCTTATTCTTCCTGCAAATTCTTCGTTATTCTAACAATCTTGCGATTAACATATTCTAAATTATTCAATTAATTTTTATTATTCAGGGATTTTTTTTTGTTTATTTGGATCTTAAATTATGCCTTCTCTATGTCTGTTGTCATTAAAACAATCTTCCTGGGGTTTAATTCTAGGCCTAGTATTTTTTACGAATAATTTAAAACTCATCAGAAATGATTTTTTTCTTACTAAAGTGAATCGAATATACGGCCCACGAGCCACTCATGGTAGAGGGTTAGTAAGTGAAGTATATGATATATGCATTTCTAGTGGTTTTTCAGGGACACGTAATGAAGAAGGAGGGCCTGGAGAATCTGATACTCACGGGTTGAATAGAGGAAAGAGAGACAAGGGAAAAGAACGCATGAGATACCTAGCGGGCTTGAGCAAATGGATGACAGAATGTGCTCTGAGGGAAATGACAGACAGAAAGAACTTGTTAAGAGCTGCAATGGAAAGAGGGAGGCGGAGAGCCATGGTCGCCTATGTTCTGAAAGGACATAGAAAGAAAGGTTTTCTTTAGAAGTTTATTCTTGCTTACATCTTCTGTTCATGCCGTACTTAGTATGTTTTGGAAAATCACATATCCGTTGCTTACGACTTGTAGGAAATGGCCTACACACAGAGGATCGAACTTCTTAAACTGCAGTAATGGTCAAGCAGAGAGACTTCGCTATCGATTAGCCGACAGCGCGGCGACACATTCTCAGTGCAGTGTTTGTGAATGTGCATGCCGATGAAAGAGTGTGAGGGGAAAAAGTTTAGGAAAAAGGACACGTTGTGATGTAATCGAGTTTGTTTTGCAAACTATTACGTGTTTTGTCCTCGTTTCTCATTGAAGCAGATTGTATAAATGTCGCTCAGCCTAACTCCCACGAAAAAGGTTGTAAGAGGAAACGCTTTCGTAAAGCGAATCAAATGTTTGTCTAAG